AATATACTCTGGGACTACATAATTGTTTAATACAATCCTAGCCAGCAGCTATATAAATCACTGATGTAAAACTACGGAATTTTAAGTTGTCAGAAAAATTCCAACTATTTTATGATAATCAAGAGAAATGAACTGGTCAAATTCATTTTTGGGGGGTAGAAACAGTTAACATTCAGCAAAGAGAACAAAGAATACTTAAGTTCACAAGGAAATATGATATAGTGGAAAGAACTGAGCTTGGTGTAGTAAAGCAGCCTGTGACTTTTTAGCATGCAGGAGGAAAAAAAAACAAAAACAAGAAACAAAACTATACAAAAGCAATAAAATATTTAGATATAAACAAAAAATATCAAAAGCCTGTGTAGGTAAAACTCCTGAAAAACACTAAAGTAAAAACTTGAACAAATGGAAGGATATCTCTTATTCTTGGATAATTCAATATCTAAAATAGGTTAGTTCTCATTAATTTAATTTATAAAGTTAATGAAATTCCAATTAAAAATATCGACAAGCTTTTTTATGGAGTTAGCCAAAACGATACCAAAGTTCATATGGAAAAATAAACATCCAAGAATAGCTAGAAAATCATGGGGGGAAAAAAAAAGCTACCAGGGCAGATTAGCCCTATCAGACATTAAAACACACTATAAAGCTCTATAATTAAAACAATGTGGTGCTGACATAGCAATATACAAACAACCTATTAGAACAGAATGGAAAGTCCAGAAATAGACCAACCACATTTAGAAATTTAGCATACAATGACAATGGCATCTCAAATCAGTGCAACAAAGATAGATCTTATAATAAATTATACTGAGATAACTGGTTAATGATTTAAAAAGAATAAAATTAGATCAATAACTCATACCATACACATAAAAAGTGAAATCTTACAACTACTAGAAGAAAGTAAGAATGAATTTCTCTTTAACCTGAGGAAGAGTCTTTCTATACAGAAAGGCTTTATAGAGAAAAGGTTTTGTAACCATAACTCAAAATCTAGATATGATGAAAGAATAAATTTGACCACATGTTGGGGGGTACTTTTACATGGCAAAAAAATGAGAATACATAAAGCAAAAATACTACATATATAAGAAATAAAGACTGAATCCATAATAAACTCTTCAGAGTTCAAAGGAAAAGACCAAAAAAGGGGGCAATTCACACACGTTCACAAATAAAATGGACACCGAACAGATGAAAAGAAGTTAAACTACATTCATAATAATAAGACTGTAAATTAAAACTACAATGAGATACCATTTCTCACCTATCAGACTGGCAAAAATTGAAAAAGTAAAGCAATACATGTTGTCAAGGCTGTGGGAAACAGGCATATACACATTACTAGAGAGAATGCAAACTGTATAACCCTTATGGAGGGGAATTTAGCAATAAGAAACAAAACTACATATATATTTACGTTTTGACTCAGAAGTCCTTCTCTTAACTTACCCTGAAGATACACATTTATTTTGTTAAAAAACCTTGTATGATGTTTTTCAAAACAGCACTCTTGGAGATTTACAAAATACTGAAAAGAAATTAAATTTTCATACATGGAAAAATGGATGACTCAATGTTGCAATACTATTCACTTGAAAAAAGGATAAGAAAAACCTCTGAACTGATATACAGTGATTCCTAGGAACTATAGTTAAGAGAAAAGGCAAAGTACAAAAGAGTATCTCTAGTAAGTTACCTGTTGTGTGAGAAAGAAACCAAGAGATTACATTTAACTGCTCATTTGTGCAAAAGAAACCCAGGAAAAATAAACTAGAACATAATGAGACTGGTCGCCTACAGGGCGTGAGTGGACACAAGACCGGGAATGACAGGGAATGTATATTTCTGACTTTTAGAACCATGTTAGTGTTTCACAGATTTAAAGAATGTGGGTAAAGTCCCAAGAGGGAACATACAGAAACTGATGAACAATACTGTATTTCAAATGAATAACCAAACTATGCTAAAGGGCAAATTTAAAGGCAAGAAAAAAAGGAACTCAAATACCTCTGAACAGGATATATGGGCTTGATTCAGTAATAAAAAATGTAATAAAGCTCTCTGGAGTCAGACTGCTTGGATTCAAATAACTTGCCCATTTATCCACATGCTAACTGTGCGACCCTTAACAAGTTAATTTATAATCCCTTTGTGCACAGGTGTCCTAATCTGAATAATAACAGTACCAATCTCACAGTGCTAAGAGCAATTCTCAAATAAAACTACTCATGTAAAAACCTTAGTAGATCGCTGAGTATATAATAAGGATTTGAAGAGTATTTGCTATCCTCAATGATTAATCCAAAAAATCCCCACTATGTGGGTATCCAGGAGACACACCAAAATGGAGTCCCTGTCCTAGTGTTCAAGGAATTTACAATAGCAAGATTCCTGTGGCTGGCTGAAATTATCTGGGAAATTTCATAAAGGAAGAATCCAACATGGGTCTCTATACACCTGCAGGAGTTAGACAGCAGAAGAATGGAAGTGATATGGAAAGCTGAATGAAACCACAGAGGCCATAAAGATTAGTATATTTAAAGGATAGTGATAAGGGGGGTTGGAAACCTTGAGTATTGGGAGAGGAGGCAAAACTACGGAAGCTCCTAAATGCGCAAATGAACTGGGCGGGCTTTATTTTCAAGACTATGAGGAACCATAGAAGATTTGTGTGTCAGAGAAACAACATGACCAAAGTGAACTGTGGGATTATTCTAGTATTGATACATAAAAGGGATTGGGAGTAAGAAGACCAGAGGTAGAATCTTACTACTGGTTAAGCCAAATGATAAGGGCCTGACTTGAATAGTGATTATGAGAAAAGTAAAGAAAGGATAAATCAACAAGGCAGAGAGGAAAAAATCAAGTTTGATAATGACTGGACATGAGGTATGAGAGGATGGGAGGTATAATAGAATGAAAGTCTTAATGAGAAGGTGAATAAAACCATTAGAAGGAAAAAGAAAAAAAAATAGGAACAAACAAATTATTTCCATTGGGTCTTAAAAGTTAAGTCAGGGTTGCATAAGAAGTCTTGCCAATTTGAGATAACAATGCAACAACATTCAGATATCAAGATCCAGTGGGCATCTGGCAACATGGGACTAGTATTTGGAAGAGAGTGAAAGCTAAAGACAAAAACATTAGATTAAAAAAAAAACAAAAACTTTTTAGAATGTTTGAGACATTCTAGAGCATACAGACACTAGACACTATTTCACAGCAGTAATCACCTCTTATTTTTATAGTCCTTAATGTTTAGCATAGTTTCTAGCACATGAGAGACTCTCAGTAAAATATTATAAAAGTGGGAGGAGCAGAGAAGGGAACAGAACTGCATGGCTTATTAATGGTAGGGCCTTGATTACAGGCCAGGTGTTCTGATTTTCCACTATACCATTATACAGACATGACCCTGCATAGGGTCCCCTAAGGAAATGGTATAAGAAATGAAAATGAAAGGAACCATGGAGATAGCTAGAGTTAAAAGGGAGGAAATGATAGTGCTGAATCACAAATTCAAAGGAAATTTTTCAAGAAAGAAAGCATAGTAAACTGTATCAAATGGTTATACAATATAGGCAGTGTTTCTCTGGTCTCCCACACCAGTGAGATCCAAGGCAAGGAGAGGTCACTCTTTAATTTAAAAGTATAAATTAAGAAATGCTAATCTACCTTTCATAACATTTTAAATACATGAATCACTCACAGCAGTGGTTCAAAAATAACACTGTGATTTTCAGTAAATTTTAACTCTACCCAATACATAATGGAAAATAAAGCCACTACAGTGGTTAAATTGAACAAAAATATGCACAAATGAAATTTTAAGCAAAAAACAAACACACAAAAAAAACCTGAAAAAAAATAATCATTTACATGTATTGACAGCAACAAAATACACGCAACACCAAAGGTCTTACCTTAAATCTCTTGTCCTGTAATACTTTCTTGATGGCAACCAGTTCTCCTGAATCACAAAGTTTAGCTTGATATACCACACCAAATGACCCATTTCCAATTACTTTAGTGTCTGTATAGCTGACTTCTTGTGGCCTGTCTGGGCCCTGCCCAGGAGTTGCCACCACTGTAGTCACCTTACTTCCATCCTTGTCTCCTAAAGATTTAAAAAAAAAAAAAAAAGATAAAAAATGAGAACTGTAAAGAATTAAACAGAGAAAATTGCTAAAGTACACAAAATAAACTATATTCTTTGTCACAAACTATTTTCAAATGCTCATCTTAGTTTATTATATAGAATGGCTTCAACTATTTGTTTCGATTATACGTAATTTTTTTAACCACCATTTATTCAGCCATTCTATAGACTTGGCAACATTCTTAGTTTATTCATGGGACTCTATTTAATGAAAACACCACCACAAAGTTGATAGCGTTGTTCTTATTTAAACATAATTGGAAGAAATGTGGACCCATGAGGATTTGAATGTTTATCTGACCAACTTTGAAGGCCCTAGTTTTTCTTCAAAGCTTCCTTATTTTACTTGAAAACATGTGCGACTGAAAACATCTAAACATGCTGAATCTATGCAGACCATTCTGCCTTTAGTTTTGCTTTGAGTTTTTGCTTCTCCATATCTTATTTCTTTTTAATAAAATAGTGAAATACCTCTCAGAGAAAGGTCAAATAGAGAAAAAGAACATGGAAACAATTAATTTGGGGGTAAGAGATTTAAAACTTAAAAGAAAAATCAAACCTGTTCTGAACAGAGCCTCAGTCATAAGTAGCTCACTGACTGGCTCTGGGGTCTCTGGCCAGTCATGGCCCTCTCCCTACCTTTTTTGTGCCCTCCCCCACCCCCATAACAATCCAGACTCTTCAATTCAAGCTCAAGAGCTATCTCCTTCTTGACTAGGCATAGTTCATAATCATCTTTTTCTCTGAATTCTTAAACTATTCTAAACCATTCTGTGTTACCTAGAACCTGATTTTTAAAAGCTTTAAATTGTTCTTTTATCGATTTCAGAATACAAAGATTCTAGTGACTACAATCATTGTGAAGTCTCTCTTCCCTGACAAATCTAAAGACAATTCTCAGTAAAATGAAAGCCCTTAAGCTCACTGACTAAACTGCACTTTTTCTTTCTATCCTCTGCTACTCTTCCATTATATCAATTTTATTTTTAAGATACTAAATAAATTCATACTAACGTGATAAAAGAAAAAATAATGTAATATTTAACTCTAGATACAAAACCAAGATTATGAAGTATTCTTTGTATTTCATATATAAAAAGATCAAAAATGTCATCTAATTTTCCAATGGTTTGAGTGTTTTTCCCCTACCAAATATAAAACTGTCAGATAAATGAATATCTAAATGTTAGTGGCAGATTATAACCAATATTGTAGCCATTTAAGCTCACAGAGGTATTACTATAGACAAAAAGTCGAGAGTAGGCAGTCTACATTATATTTTATGGCCAACTACCTTGAACATAGATATCTTTAGTTTCCAGGTGAAACACACCAACAGGTACGATTTAGTTAGCACAAATCCAACACCACTTGTGGAAAGAATAACTCAAATCTTGTCAACACGATCATTTTTATTACAACAGTTTTACATATGCTTTAAATGTATACAAACCCAAGCACAAGCCAACACTTATCTAGCAGTTCTCAAAAGCTTTCAAACGCTCCCTTCACATTTCACTTCCTAGTAAAATAAATCTTAAAAATACTTGATAAAAAATTAGTTTAATCTAATCTGAGTTCTAAATCATGCTCCACTCCCAAAAACTATTCAATATTACTTCTGTTTCTGACCATGTTAATCTTAACTACAAATTTTCAGGTGGACTACAAACCTTACTATAAGTTATTTTCATTTTCATTTCTAAAATAAACCTGTCTTTGCCTATATTATTGTACCCCTAAAGACAGAATCAGTCTTCTGAACTTAAACTCTAAAGAGATCTAGAAAGGTTAGATCCAGAAAGATTAGAATGCAAGGTAGTGAATGCATTTTCTTATAGTCCAATTGTCCCAAAGAAAATAAAAAGCAGGTGTGATTTCAAACAGTCTGACTCTTCCCTAGATCATCCAAGTTAAGACCATATCTCAAAAAAAAAAAAAAGAAAAAACCCAAGAACTATGAATTACTAATTCCACTGAAAAAGTTGTTTGCAAAATTTCACAAGCCTAATTCACAAAACAAAGCATCATTATTTTTTAATTAAGATAAATTAATAGATTTTTAAATGACTGTTGTACTCTACGATTTTAATTGAGACAAAAGCTGTCTGGGATATAACCAAAAATTATGCTTTTCTACTGTATAACCATATTTCAATAAAGTCAAAAAAACAGCAGTCACAGCTTAGTACTTGCTCCAATAAGAGAATTTAAGCAACATAAATATGTGTGATATTTTTCCCCTCGTCTCCTCTGAGGCTGCATTTCTAAGACAAATTCGCATTTCAGAAAAATAGTTTCAGAACCTCAAGAACCAGCTATGAAAGATATCCATCACGACCCTGGGTTTTGGCATCTCTTCAGCCTCAACTACTATACCTGGGAATGTCTATCCCAGCATCATGATTTGCATATGGGAAAATCCACAAATAAGATAATTCTGCAAAAACATTAAAAGCAAATTAGAAAGATAAACAGATAGGTCCTACAGATGCTATCATTGAAAGAGACTTTTGAGGCCTCTTAACTTGAAACTGCAATTGGATGTGGACAAGGGCCAATCCTTCCACCTTCTTGCACTTCTAGTAAAAAAACTACCTACTATCTTAGCAGAAATTAAAAGATTTACTCTATTCTCTTTCCAGCAGTTAGAGAAATTGCTGAGAACTCTTATAGGCTATACTCTATAAATATGAAATCCTTAGGTATACTAGGAAGGAATAGTGAATGGCTCTCAGGCTTTCTACTTTAAGCATCCTAGAACTTTTATTCAGAAATCATCAATCTCTTCGGACTGCCCCATCAGAGATCCGAAATAGCAGAGCTGTAAAAAAATGGCAAGATAACACTGGGGATGACTTGGCATGAACATTAGTAGCGCACAGGACAGTCAGCAGCTAATGTGCCAAGGAAAAGCGTGTCACCATTTGGCATTAGAATTTGCCGACTTAGCAAGAAAATAACAGCTGTACGAAATTTCACTATACAAAGAACTTTCCAATTCATTGTTTCATCTACTCTAATACTTATAATAAATGTAGGGATATAATGTGTTTACCATACAAATGAAGAAATTAAGACTAAAAGGGATTAACTTGTCTGATATCATAAAGCTTTAGCAGAACTCTTCACTTGCCTCATGCTGCCTCTGCTACATTTTACAACCTTTCTAATACAGTTGAAAGACTAACTTCATATACCATTACCTACCCCAAAGCAGTGAATAATGTTTCTGAAAATATGATGTAAAAAGAGTAATAAGTAGTAAGAGAATAAATGAATAATCTTTCACATTTTTCAGGCCTCAATTATTCACTTAACAGCTAAAAAGCTATTTCTAAAGCTACTTTGGCAACATCGGATTTTGAAACTTATCCCAAAGAAAAGCATATGGAAAACAAAAATGTAAAACAATTGATTCTGTGATGTTCAATTTAACATTTGCTACTAGAGATTGGATAATTTTGGATCTTAGAAATAGAGTAGCATTTTAAGCACTGCTACCAAGAGACCAAAATACTCTTGAAAGGCTAGAAATCATAACAAATCTGCCTCATTTTTTAAAATAAGTCACCACTTTGCCCATTACTAAACTTCCCAGAATGCATGATATAGTGAGTCTGACACCAATTACAATAAAATTGGTCTCCAAAAAAATGCCACTGTCTCCAGCAGAACAGTGGGAACAGCAAGGCTCCAGGCTCTCTCTCTGACCAGAGGACTCCTGGGCTCCTCTTTTTCAATTAAAATTCACTCAGGTGGTGGTTCTTTCCTATTGTGACTATAACACAAAATTAAGTCCCCTATTCTTTAGCACAATAAATCTTAAATCTATAAATCACAATAGACTCCTCATGAAACAATAGAAAGACGGCATGTAACAGAACAAACCACTTTCTACTGAAGGCTATTAAATATAGAACACAATTTTTACAAAAGTCTTAGGCACATCCCAAAATGGTATGTGCGACCTAGTTTTCAATCTCTCAAACATAGGTTTGTACCTGTAAGCAACACCTTGTGGGTTATCTTTTTTAAGTCTTCTGAAGTCAACCCTCAGATCGATACACCCTGAGATGAATGTAACAGAGTCCACATCCAAAATATAGAGTGAGCATCCAAAAACGAAAGGCCACTTCAAGCATGTTTAAATATTTAGAAGGAATCTGACACGGACATTCTCATCTCAAGTTGAACATACATTGGTCATTTAATTTAATGTTCCTTAAGATTCATGAGCAGAGAAAAAGTAACAATTGCGACACTTTTTAACTGAGATTTTTAGGAATGTTAAGCCATACTACTGATACAAACTGAACTAATCAGTTATGATTGCCTCTATAAAAATCTTCCTTTAACTCAAGAATAAGATCTCCACATAGAAATAACAGAAAGTTTAAAATCTGTAACAAAAGCCCAGAGAAAGGACACACCACCACCTGTGACCACAAAGAAGATACAATTTTTTTTTGAAGTTTTTTTACCTAACCATAGTATTAGTAGAGAAAATAGCAATTGTTTCTCTAGCAGGAAGAGAAATATCAGATAGCTATTTTTATGGATGTTTAACAACAAACACTCTATTGAAAAGGATTTATCATATAAATTACTCAAAAGAACCTAGAACCCTATTTTCAGGCATGATTAAGGCTGTCCAAAGATTAAACACTGACCACTGTCAAATTTTCAGGTTTTTAAATCAAAGTTCAAACGACTAAGTAACTTCTGGCTAAGTAACTTCTATTAAAACAAGATGTTCTCCCCAATATAGCCAAAACCGCTTAGAAACATGAAAACAACATAAAAATTAATAAGCAAAAGAAATAAAAAGTAAGCAACTGAGGTACACAGAATTAGTTACGTAAAATCTAAAATAAACTTATTCTTGTCATGAAATAAGGGTTCTACTCTAATGATGTGGAAGCTTTAGCCAGAGTACAACTGCTCATATTAAAAAA